AGTTGGCAATTTGTATGTTCTCAAACCAAACTCTCCCACACTACAACATAATGAAATGAATAATATCATAACTACATCTAAAAAGAGGAAGGATTCTTCGCAGATGAATCAAGCATATCTGTGGCACCTTAGACTTGGGCACATCAACCTTAGGAGGATTCAAAAGTTAGTGGCGATTGGACATCTCGGTCCATTGGAAGAGCACTATCCAACTTGCGAATCCTGCCTGGAAGGTAAGATGGCCAAGAGGCCGTTTACGGCAAAGGGGTATAGGAGCCAAGAAGTGCTAGGATTGATTCATTCTGATTTGTGTGGTCCTATGTCGATCCAGGCTAGAGGATGTTTCGAGTACTATGTGTCTTTCATAGATGATTACTCGAGATTTGAGTATGTTTATCTGTTGCACCGCAAGTCCGAATGCTTTGACAAATTCAAGGAGTATTGGGCAGTTGTGGAGAAGCTTCATGGTAAATGTATCAAGTCACTTCGTTTTGATCGAGGTGGCGAATACCTCTTTGGAGAGTTCAGGACATACTTATCGGAAGCTGGGATTGAATCCCAACTGACTGTACCCGGCACGCCCCAGTAGAATGGGGTTGCAGAGCGAAGATATAGGACTCTTATGGAGATGGTTAGGTCTATGATGAGTTATTTGAGGTTACCAGATTCGTTCTGGGGTTTGGCATTCGAAACAGCATCGTATATTCTGAACATGGTTCCATCGAAGTCAATTGACACTACCCCTTATGAGATGTGGAAAGGGCGCAAGCCCAGTTTCTCACAGTTTCGAGTTTGGGGTAGTCCTGCACATGTGTTAGTGCAGGAACCTGGCAAGTTGGAGAAACGTTCAGAAGCACGAGTTTTCGTAGGCTATCCCAAGGGAACGAAAGGTGGATTATTTTATAGTCCTGAGGATCAGAAGGTGATCGTTTCGACGAACGCTAGATTCTTGGAAGAAGACTACGTTATGAATCATAAGTCCGCGAGTAGACTAGTCTTAGAGGAGTTAAGGGGTGAAATCGATGGTTCCCCACCGAGTGCGCAAGTAGATACATCACATAATACTGCAACACGGCACACTGAGAGTGTACCAGTGCAGACAGTGCCTCGTCGCAGTGGGAGGGTTTCTCATTTACCCGACCGATGGATAGGTCTTAGAGAGTCATCGGACTCAGTTCCATGAGGCCTAGAATCGGACCCAAGAACTTACGATGAGGCACTCCAAGATAAAGATGCAGATTCATGGAATGTTGCAATGAAAGCTGAAATGGGGTCAATGGACTCCAATCAGGTCTGGGATCTTGTAGAACCACCCGATGGGGTACGACCCATTATATGTAAGTGGATCTATAAAAGAAAGAGAGGATCGGATGGGAAGGTACAAACCTTTAAAGCTAGGCTTGTTGCGAAAGGTTATACCCAGATCGAGGGTATTGATTATGATGAGACATTTTCGCCAGTAGCTATGCTTAAATCCATTCGGATTCTCTTAGCTGTAGCCGCTCATATGGACTATGAGGTCTGGCAGATGGATGTCAAGACAGCTTTCCTTAATGGGAACCTACAGGAAGACATCTATATGCAGCAACCAGAGGGATTCATTGCTGAAGGTCGTGAGCATCTAGTGTGTAAGCTTAATCGGTCTATTTATGGACTGAAGCAAGCTTCGAGATCTTGGAACATCCATTTTGATGAGGTGATCCAGTCGTACGGGTTCACTCAATGTCCGGATGAGCACTGTGTTTACAAGAAAATCAGTTGGAGCGTGGTGGTGTTTCTTGTGCTTTACGTAGATGACATACTGCTTATTGGAAACAGTAAGAAAGAGTTGTCAGACATAAAGGTGTGGTTGTCTAAGCAATTTGATATGAAGGACTTAGGTGAAGCAGGACACATTCTTGGTATTAGGCTCATTAGAGACGGTAAGAAGAGAATGTTGTGCTTATCCCAGTCTTCATACATAGATACTCTCTTGGCCAAATTCAGCATGAAGGATTCCAAGAAAGGTATGTTACCTTTCAGACATGGAATACCTCTATCTAAGGAGATGTCTCCTAAGACGTCTAAGGAGATAGAGGAGATGAAGACAGTTCCTTATGTTTCGGCAGTAGGTCTCATGTATGCAATGTTGTGCACTAGGCCAGATATTAGCTACGCCGTTGGCATGGTAGCTAGATATTAAAGTAATCCGGGACGGGAACATTGGTCTGCGGCGAAGCATATACTCAAGTACCTGAGAAGGACTAAGGAGTACATGTTAGTTTACCGTGCAAGCAGCTTGTTACCTCTGGGTTACAGTGATTCTGATTTCCAGTCAGATAGGGACGAAAGTAAGTCAACCTTAGGTTATGTGTTTACCTTGGGAAGTGGAGCCATTTAATGGATGAGTGCTAAGCAGAAATGCGTGGCAGACTCCACCATGGAAGCCGAGTACATAGCAGCCTCAGAGGCAGTTTGGCTCAGGAACTTCTTAGTGGACTTACAGGTTATACCGAGTTTGCCACGTGGTATCACCGTGTACTGTGATAACAGTGGAGCAGTAGCGAACTCAAAAGAACCTCGAGCCCACAGGGCAAACAAACACATATAGCACAAATACCATCTGATTCGGGATATCGTTGGTAGAGGAGACGTTGATGTTTCCAAGATTGCGTCAGAGGACAACCTAGCTTATCCTTTCACGAAGAGTTTGCCGGGGAAGGTCTTCGTCAAACACGTGGAAGGAATGAGAGTCATGAGCATGGCAATAAGATCGACATAGGTCTTTTAGAATAACGGATTGATAGGACTATACTGTAAAAGCAAAAGCTTTAAGTATAAGTGGGAGATTGTTAGTGTTATATACTGAAAGCTTGGCTTTGCATGTTATTACACATTTACCCTTTATGAATGAGAATCATGTTAGATTAAACAAGTTCTACTTTCTGTTGTTCTGCACTTAGATAGAGTGGGTCGTCATCGGGCGAACCGAAGATCACTCTATCAGTCACTTGTGAACAAGAATAGTTGTTCACAACCTAGATGGACATGAACACCCCATCCGAACGGTTGTAGTGTCAACTATACAGTTTTTCTTGACTGATTAGTTGCACTAGTACATTTATGTATTGAACAGGATCCCAGAGAGGAGAAATTCATTTTATACTGATCGTCGTAAATGAACTAGACCTCGGTTAATTACTGTGTTCTCTTAACCCGTAAGATATTAAACAGGCAGATATATATAATATATATTACTTTGATTCACATGGGTGAGGTTTAGTTTGTTGGATTAATATTCCTACTGTTTTCGGTAATATTATTATATATAGGATGTGCTGTTAGGATATTTACGTTCATCATGTGCGTTAGTTTGATGATGTCCCCGGAGTGAGTTCATGAAGGATGTTATGCTAAACCCTGCAGGTGGATTAAGTTCCGACATAATAAGAATGTGACGAACGAGCGCTAGCTTCGGTGAAATAATAATAAATTAATTAATTCTTGATTGTCAGTAATCGAATTAATTAATGGACATTATATCTTAAACGTGGGGAGGTAAATAGAGTAATTATTATTGGAGTCTCAAATGTAATTTGGGCTAGGAAAAGGGAGTGCAATAATATAATGTTGGTGGCCTATTAATATTATTTAATTAATTAGAGGAGTGGGCTTGGCCCACAGTTAGTCTAATTAATAAAGGAGCCCTTTTCCTAATCTCCTAATGGTCCCTACTGTATCTCTATATATACATCATTAAGCTCATGAGAAGAGAATCCCAATCTCATTCTAACGAGACACGCCCCACGCCTCTATCTCTCTCTCTAGATCTCATTCGAGCTTTATCTTCTTCTTGTTGCTCCACTGGTACAAGTAGAAGAAAGGTGTATTGAGTATACAGTAGAAGATCTGTAGGTAAACCGAGACGAAATATATTTTGACCTACAGAATTAACCGAAAGTCCGATTGAGACGTACAGCATACCCAGACGACCGTCTCGACGAGAGCTTTCCATCGCCGTCGTCCAACGCCTCATGCGCCCTCATGCGCCGCCGGAATCTCCCAGGCTGCAAAGTTTTGTTTTGATCTGTTTGCATCCGTTTGATCCGATTTTGATCTGATCTTGTTCGTGCAACCCAAGACGTGATTTGAAGTCAATCAATTGTGGTCAACCGTTCGTGGTCAACCAGATCTACATAAATTTTAAGCCGTAAGTTCTCTACGTCAAACCTTTAGATCCGCTGCGCATAGGTTTACGTTTGCTATTGAATTCGTGACTTGTACATAACGAGATCCTCACAGATTCCAACACCTCGGCCGTGCCGGTTCAGGGTCAGTCCAACCCAGTCCGTCGGCCCGCCGGGCCGGGCCCGGGCCCAACCCGGGTTTTGGCCATGTCTATAGTGGGTGTGTTTCGTGAATTATGTGTGTGACAGTGTGAGCGATAGGAAGGGATTGGGAGTAGAAGTGCGGGTGGGGGTGGGGTGAGAGAGGGTGACAGGTGTGACTAGGTGAGTTGGATACATTAAGTAGTGTATAGATGGGTCCCACTTGGTGTCCTATTATTTATAATGACAATATTATCCATAATAAGTGGTCAAATGGTAATATTAGACCATAATTTGACTGTTATTAGCTAATTTTGACTCTTTCTCATATGATCCATTCTATATATAGGCTTGGGTTCAAGTGAGAAAGGTGCTTAGTGAAGAAATAAGAATACACCGTAGCCATTAGATCAGATGATCCAATGGCTACGGTGTATTCTAGACATTTCATTAAGGGTAATCTAGACATTTTACAAATCAAAATCTATACATTCATTAAGGGTAATCTAGATATTTCATAAATCGTCTACTTTATGGGCCCCACACCACAACATTTGCCAGCTAATTAATGTCTCTTTTGTCTCTCTCTCTCTCCCCCCAACTTTACGTCTCTTGTCTCTCTCCTCCTAACGTAAACACATTCAACGTTACACCTACCCAAGCTGCCGGAAAAAAATTTGCACTGTCAAAGTGATGCACCGCAGCCGGAGAATCCCCGCCACCACTATGGCACTCAACGCTCTCTATCTCTCTCTCTCCCACACGAACCCAGCCCCGTCACTTCCCTTTTACCGGCCGCCGCAGTTCGTCTCCGGTGAAGCCGACCCGTCCGATAGCAACCGACGACCGGCGCGCACCACCCGACACCGGTGAACAGGATAACGGTCGACTTCCAGCAGCAGTCCGACCTCCCTGGCGCAGTCAGCCACCGAGATCCGCCGCCTCTCGCAGACAACCGTCTGCCACCACCGTCGAGCTCCGCCATCAGCCGCCGCGGAAGTGGTCAAGTCCAAACAGTCGAACAATAGAAGTTAACCGTATAAATTTATGATATTCAGAAATAAAATTAATTTTCTGAACTTTATGGACATTAAGTTGAGAATTAGATAATATCAAAGGACTCCATTGCAATTTATGAAATTTGAATATATTTCAATTTAACCCATGGGCTAAATCTGTAATTTATAAAAATATATAAAAATATTATGTTTTATATGTACTTTTAAACATATGTTTATTATGTATATTAAATATATATATATATATATATAATATGATTAGAATAATTTTATGAAATTGTGTAATACTAATATTCAATCAATTTTTTTCGTCTCGGATGGGATACTACTTGAGCAACATGATTTAATTTTTGATCATACTATTATCTACAAATTAATTAAGATATCTATAGAATATGCCTATATACGCAGAAAAATAATTAAGATATGCCTATATACTCTGAAAATTAATTAATTTTTACCAATAAATTATATCATATATCACCATTACTCATTTATTTTTGATAAATATGAGTAAAAATTTTAAAATCGGTAATGTTTGTCCTTATAACGCCCATAAAGTACCAAATTTTTCAAAATAACCTATAAAAAAGAATAGATTTTGCAATAGTATGAGAAATTGATTGTTGAATGCTTGTTTTGCAGCATAAACTTCTAATCTACTTAATTTCTTTGCGTAAAAGAAGGTTAGAACAATTTTATAAAATTGTATAATACTAAAACCCAATCTAATTATTTTCATGTCGAATGGGATACCATTTGAGCAGCACGATTTGATTTAGATCATATGTTCATTTATAAGTTAATTAAAAATATCTTGCGAATCATGTTATGCTTATATACTTAGAAAATTAATTAATTTTAGTAATAAATTATATCAATATATTACCATTACTCATCTATCTATTAAATTGTATTACTCTAATAAACCAATTTTTTATCAAAAAAATTGTACGAAATAAAAACATTTTATATTTGAATATAATATTAATGAAAAAATTGTAATTATATATAATATAATACAAAGATGTACAATTAATTAATATATAATAAGACTTATTACCCAAAAAGTTCTATGCTTAATCTTATGCATTTTTTAACAAATCTAATAGTTATATATATATATATATATATATATATATATTTATATATATATAAATCATATATAATACTAAATGTCAATCTATTTGTTTTCATGTTGAATGGGATACTACTTGAGCAACATGATCTAATTTTCATCATACAACGAAATAATTTCTTATTGAGTATAATATTAATGAAAAAATTGTAATTATACATAATATAATATAAAGATGGTACAACTATAACAGGATATAATAAGACATATGACCCAAAAAATTATATACTTAATTTTATGAATTTTTATAATAAATCTAAATTTTTATAAAATATTAAATCTGATATTAAGTAAGAAAATATTAAATTTGATAAATATTGAGAAAATAAATATGATAAATAATATTAAAAATATAATTTAATTGTAAAACATACTAATAAATATGAACATAAGTAATAACTAAATTTTTTTTAATTAATAAGTATAAATGTACAACTTTAAAATTTATATTTATCAATGTAAATGAGCTGAATTGTTAAACATTTATTAATTATTTATTTTTATTAATTCTAGGTGTAAGTTTTAGGTTATAGACAATAGTTATTCGTGTTCATGTAGGTTAGATCTTTTAATTTTTTCATAAAAATAATTGATTATTATAATTTTAAATAAATTTTTATTTGTTATTAGCTTTTTGAATATAATATATAAATATCATATTGCATATATGAAATAATACTTGTTTTTATTAATATGTAGGAAAAGTAACTCAATTGAGAAATTAATAGGTAATCTTGACATAAAATAATGAGTGATTTTTAAGAAAATTATATGGACTAAAATGTACACGTGTTTACTATTTTTAATACAAAAATTGTAAACGAAATTACTACATAAAAATTTTAATGTTTAAGAAACAACACAAAAATTCTATATTATAATGAATCCAACAACAAGGTATTCCACTGAAAATTCCAAAGGATTTCATTGTTATAACTTCTATTGGAAAAATTTATTGGACATTATTACAACAGATATCAAATTATTACATTGAAATTTTCGTGGATTTAATATTTCATTTATCATTATTTATTGGCGTGTGAATTTTCGTCGGAATTTTTTTTAACCATATTTCAACTGTTTGAAAAAATATCGTTGAAATTGTAAATAACCCAATGGAAGTTTTTAAACTAGCTACAGTGGCGGATTTTTTAATGTTGGGGGCACTATATATTACAAAATACATACTATAAAAATAGCATAATGTAATTACAATTTATAAATTTTATTTTTTATAATTTATCATCTTTCTCAAATGTAATACTTTTTTTAACACATCAATACAATCACAATAAGTTCAAAATATTTTAGAAAAACATATTCTATCTCAGTTCAACATAAGAAAATCATAAAAAAATAATATATGTTTTGTTTATGAACAAAAAATTTAAGTTATAGTATAGCTGACTTGACAATATAATTGATGAATTTATAAATTACGAATATATAACTAGAATTCTACATAAAGTTAAAAATAAAAAATATATTTTAATGTTAGATAAAAATTATGTCGCAAAAGAGAGAATATAAGCTATCATCAAGATTAAAAAGAAAAGAGAGAGTTAGAGCGTAAAATTGTAAATTTGATAACTATCATATTTTCTTTAGTTGTGATATCGCATTTATGTCATAACTTTAATAAAGTTATGAGCTTAATTAAATTTTGATTGGTTGAGTTGTAAGTTAATTCTTTATGTATATTTCTTTCTTTTATTTTATTTTTTTCAGAATAGGGGACACGATTAAAATTATAAAAGTTCCCACTGTTTTTGTTAGATACCTTATCCTATATGTTTTTGGACGAGGGCATGTGTCGGGCCAATTAAATAAACATGGATCTACACATGATTCCAGCAAATACTTTTATGAGAATTTTTTATTGGAAAATTCAAACTGGAGTAATACCATTGAAGTATTCGTTAGATTGTCGTTGAAATTTTGATTTAATGTATTTTCGTTGTCTACCGTAGTAAATGTAGGGCTCCAAATCAATAAAAAAATTGCATTATGTATAATATTGTGTGAAACTAATTATTGTAATAATTATTGATTATGATGAAAATATAACACATTCAATGTAATTATCATTTAATTTATGATAATTTAACAAACAAGATACATCTAGGTTAAAAGTTCTTTAATTAATTTATTGGTATTATTATAACTAAACAAGGTGTAAGGAATGATGTTTTACATAATAAAAATGTAAGACTATACAATGAGAAAACTTATAGCTCGCACTCAATCCAAAAGCAAATGAAGTAATAAAATTAATTAATGTCCTATATCAATTAGAGCTAACTAATTAGAAATATAAAACATACTTAAGATGCACATTTATTTTAACTAGAACTTTTACACACACACACACACACACACACACACATATATATATATATATATATATATA